TAAAAAAAATTAAGTGTAAACCCATGTAACCCATTTTTTTAAACTTAAGAAAATGCAGATGAATATTTATCAGACCTAAGGATAGGAAATGTCATAAAAACAGTGGAATAAATCACATGAGAAAGAAATTCACAGATTCAAATGCATAAATATTTTTAATTTCTTCAAAAAGGAAAATAAAAAATCCTAAAAAATCTTTGCAACAAATAGAGCCAAAGGCTGTGACCTTAAAAGATACATGTATTTGTGAACACCCTAATCAAAGTGATTGAAATGTATTAACCAACAATTTACAGAAGAAATAAGAAATGAAAGTGAGTAATAAACACGAAAAACGTTCAACTCCTAACAATTAAAATGAAATAATAAACAATTTTTCACTTGTCAGATCAGTAAAGATTTTAAAGTGATCAGAAGTCCTGTTATGAGGAAATGGTAATACGGCAGTTGTATACCTACTAGTGTTGGAAATATACATTGTTATTAACTGGTCTGCACTTGGACAGGATCTTGCTTCTATTAATCTGTCCCAGTGGAATCCTCAGTGACCTGGAGTAAAGGGAAGGCACGGGATGGTCATCGCAGCCTTACTGAAAGGAAGAGCAAATAACAAGCAACTTAACTGTCACCTTTTCTGGTAAAAAATCAGTTTACTTGAAATGAAGCCACACAATTGTTTAAAATGATAAGTTAACAAGTTATCATAAATTATTTATACTGGAAAATAGCAAATTAAGAGTGGCTCCTTGTGATTAGGGGTCTGAGCCACAGCTGTAGTCTTACTTTAAGTCACTTTCCTACTGTAACAAAGTAAATTCCTTGAAAAAAAACAAATCTCAAGCAGCTGTGGGTAAGCTCCCTGGAAAAAGCCTGTCTGTAAAAATGTGGAGCCAATTATAAAATGACAAAAATGTGAAATTATAAGGAAAAATACATTTTGCATAAACTGTTCCTTTACTCCAAGTCCTTGTTTCTGGTTTTTTTCCTGCTTTTTTAAAGCCAGTGCTTGCTAAGACTTGTGCACTGAAAATGAACTGAAATTAAATAGGTTCTAGGTTATTTATTCACATTTACCTGAAACAACCCTCTGCTTTCAGTTCGCACGTTTTAAAAAATCTCCCTTTTAATGGCAGAACCACATCAGATCTGAAGGCAAGAAATTATTAATTCCTTTTCCTGATGTAGAGTTCGTTCTTCTTTAAGCTTAGACTTCACCAAGTATACTGACAAATCACTCAGCCTGTTACTGAAATTTGAAAATTACAGCCTCTGTAGAGCCTTGAACGCACTATCCCCTCTGACTCCCTGCGCAGGATATGAAACATACATAGGCAGGTATGGATCAGTGGAGTAAAGGATCATGATAGGAAAATAAGAGGGAAGGATGCTCTTTAAATTTAAATTTAGTGCCCAAAACAACTCGCGTCCCGAGAAAGAGGATCTTGAAAAAATGAAAGGGTAGTTAACCACTACTAAATCTTTCTGTTGTGTTTCTTTAAAATGTCCTACTACTTTTATGGGGTATTTTTAATGTTTGACATATTAAAATCTGGCTTTAATTTTAATATTATGTCTCTTTTTATAACATCAGCCAATTAAAAAATTTTTAATAAGCTCCTTGATTTATTTTCCCCTTGCTTGCTGGACTGTGGGGTGTGGGAACACAGGAGGGGTAATGTGCCTGCCTACATGGTATTTGCAGTTAGTTGGAGACATAATCAAGTATTAATCTATAGTTCATAGCTACAGGTATTGACTACGTGCCAGTACTGGGCCAGATGCATTACAGGAATTATTTCATCCTTAACATCCTTGTCAGGTATTACCCTCATTTTGAAGGAAGACCGGTCCCACAGCTGGTCTTGTCAGTCAGTGGCAGAACCGAGGTCCTACCCCAGACCTGGCCACCTCTGGGCTTTGCCTTTTTAACCCTGGAGCTGCTACTGCCCCCTCCGGGCTGCGTGGCACCGACCGCCCTTCCCCTTTGTCTTGTAGATGCGCATACTGGGTCCTGCCAGGGGGCCTCTGGGCTGGGGATCCCGCTGAGCGGCAGCGCTGGGCGGCTGGGGGGAGGTGGGCGCGTGCCGGGTCCGGGCCGCCGCCCTCCAGCCCTGCGCCTCCCTCTGTGCAGCGTTCCCACTTGGTGGCCACACTCAGTTTTCTTTTGTGAAAATATTCACTGTGTCCTGCTTTGTTGACATTCATACTGAGACAGTAAGACAGCGCATAAGTAGGGTTTTTGTTCCCTTTAGAATTGCTGAAGATTTTTCAAGCACCTTGTGTGTCAAGCGCATCACAAGCCGTCCTGTGGACCCCGGGTCCCGGCCTTCGAAGGCCCGTAGGTTCACCGTCTCTCTTTTCCCTACGGTCTTTTCGTTGTTTATGATGGAAGGAAAAACTTGTGCTAACGCTTTCTTTCACTGACATTCCAGGTTTAGCTAGGATTCACTAATCGTAAGTTTTTCAGGTTTTCTCTTCTGGACTTCATTTGCTTTGCACGGGGCAGTATGTCCTCATCAGATCCAGGCCTGTGCCCAAGTGTGTAGAGACTTGAGGAAAAACCTCCCTCCATACAAGGGACAACTGAAGGAATTTCTAGTTCCGCCTTTCATCCTACGATTGCCTTGAAACCAGAAGCCATGAGACTGGAACTAGGGGCTTGAACTCGAACACTCAGAAATCCCAGCATAGAAAATGTGCTAAACCAGAGCAATCTTACTCTGGATGCCAGTCGGGGCCAGGTGGGGCTGGGATAGCATTACTAGTTCCTGCAAACAAGGAAGACACCTGCCTGCTAATCGCTGTGTTTAAAGCATCGGGAGTGGTTGTAAGAAATTCCGGTACTTGCGCAGTGGTGGTGTGAGAATGCTGTGGTATAAGGGATACTTCCATTTTCTGGGTTCCCATGGTCTCCCAATAACCTAGAAAACAAGAGAAACAAAAAATAACTTTTCCTCTGAACCTTCACATGAAAATTTCAATTCTGCCTGCATGTGTGACTTTAGATTTCACACATCTTTTCTTCATTCTAAGTTCCCCCATCTCTCCTTTTGCTTCCCTGGAATCTCATCTTAATTTGTAAGTTATCAATGGGTTTTGTCATTTGACTTGTTCACTTTTTCCTCTTTACCCTTTAGCTTTGGTAAGAAAGCTTTTGAGCAATTATCTTGACCTCATAGCAAATCCTTTTTTATTTATTTATTAAGGTATTATTGATATACACTCTTACGAAGGTTTCACATGAAAAAACAATGTGGTTACAACATTTACCCATATTAACAAGTCCCCACCCATACCTCTCAATGCAGTCACTGTCCATCAGTGCAGCAAGTTGCCACAGATTCGCTATTTGCCTTCTCTGTGCTACACTGTTTTCCCCATGATCCCCCACACCGTGTGTACTAAATATAATGCCCCTCAATCCCCTTCTCCCTCCCTGCCTACCCGCCCTCCCACACCCCTCCCCTTTGGTAACCACTAGTCCCTTCTTGGAGTCTCTGAGTCTGCTGCCATTTTGTTCCTTCAGTTTTGTCATAGCAAATCCTTTGTAAAATCTTTTACCTCCGATAACCGGAGTGTCTCCTCTGCAATCAGAATGACTCTTGGTGAGCCACAGACATAGATTACTCCATTCATCACTCCCTTCTTAATATCTCAGTTGATTTTTATTAAACTATGAATTCATGAGGTGAGTGATTTAACTGCAGAGTCATTGATAATTATTTTTTAATAGTGCCTTGATTTTACTATTATTCATTTCTTAAATCCAGTGGTAATCTTTTCCATTATGTTCCCTAAAATTCATACAGATCAGTGATTACAGTCTTGCATTTTATTATAAAATACCCATTAAAATATTTTTTCTACTTACCAAATTTAATCAATATTCTTCTTAAAGGAATTAAGTTTTTATAAAAGGTACTTGCATTTTGTTGTGTACTAGGGAGCCCATTATACATATAATGAGCAGATTGTTTTCTCTCCCTTAAAACCTGGATTTTGAGAGTATACAGACAGGAAAGTTGTTGATTGCAAATCCTAGTGAACTCTTCACTGGTGTGTATGATGAACATCACTATTCTTGAAAGGAAATAAAAGTGAAGTGGTGCAACAACATGAAAAGCCAGTGGAACAGAATAGGAGTTGACTGAGAAAAGGCACTTTTTGCCTAAGTCTTTTAAACCTACATGTGAAATGACAGCTGTGAGCCGGAGAGGGCTCTTTAAGCAGACATGAGATTTTATTAAAGTATTTGAAAAAATATTTTAGTAAAAGATCCTATGACCTATTATTAAGAGTACACAATTGAGACCATGAAACCTATTTCAAAATTTCAGTAGGCTTTAAGTTGTAAAAGCACAGACTTTGCAAGGAGAAAAACAACCTGGGGGTTGGACCTTGACTAAACCCCCTGGAGTCGCACAGCAGTGCAGTGACTCACCCTTAGTGACAGGCTGGTTCTCAGCCAGATCTGGGTATGCCACTGTGCTTTGTCTACCTTAGTTTTCTTTTTATCTAGCAGTAGATGCTGTCTGTGCCACAGGTGTGGTGTCAGGCTATGCTTAGACTCTAATATAAAATATTCTAGTATTTGTGAGTGAGAGAATTCATCATTTATATTGAAAGTGTTTCTACAGTGCTTTTCTTCTTATCAAACATGATCATCAGTCTGACAAATTATAATTGTCTTATTATAGCCATTACAGTTAATTTACTTACTGATTTCTGAAGAGAACTCTGTGATTTAGAGTTTAAAAAGTGTATCATTACCTACAAAAACATGATTCTCTTATAAATTGTTTTAATGAAGTTGTGTAGCATCTATTTTTTTCTCCTTATTAATAGTGCACTGTAACAATATACTGAATAAAATCCAACACAACTTTGAGGATTTCGAAAAATTTTTTGTTGTTTGGAGATCACTTTTTTTTGTTCCTTGTTGTTTGGAGATCACTTTTTTTTGTTCCTATTACTAAAAAATACATTGTTTGTGTTTTCAGCTGGTTTTAGAAGAAGTTTCCGTCTTAGTAGAAAAGATAAGAAAACAAATAAATCCATGTATGAATGCAAGAAGAGTGAGCAGTATGATACTGCAGACGTACCCACATATGAGGAAGTGACACCCTATCGGCGGCAAACCAACGAGAAATACAGACTTGTTGTCTTGGTTGGTGAGTGTTTGCTTTCGTGTGTAACTATGATAAAGTAAATGAGATAGTAAGAATTTAACTTCAAAGAGCATCATGCTTGATGTTTTCAAGCTAAGAAATCTCACTTTTGTACCTTTTGTTTGTTCTCTAACATGAAATCTTTAGTCTTTAGTGCTCATATGACGTTCAGGAGACTTAAAACAACTAGGAAGAATGGTACTGGTGTTTTAGTGGAACTTGTATAATAAAATGGGATAGCAAATACCATCACAATATATTAAGCATAACAGGGTAACTCTTTTAAATAATAGAGATCAATATATTTCTTAATATAATGCACATTTCTTACAGTTTATTTTGAGACAGCAGCCATGGTATATGCATCTTGTAACATTCAGGCCTTCAGTGAAATGAACTGTTTTGGCAGAGTTCTAGGATATTTAACCCTGGGAAGTCAGCTAACACAACTACTTGAAGTAGTTAATAAGTGTACATAGGGATTTCCATAAACATTGGCCCCAGCATCTGTCTGGTCCAACCTGCGGAGACAGTTGTAATCACTGCTTCTGTGTTACTCCACCTCCTCCTCATTTGTGTTTCTTTAAAGATTTGGTGACAGATATTTTAGCTCCAAGGACCAAAAACAATGATTTTGGGGGAAAAAAAACTGGCAAAAAGGAACCTGGTGTCTCTTGTTAATTGTCCCTGTAACCAGGAAGTAAGTGGGAAAGCTAATGAACCCCCTCCACCCCACATGAGAAAGGAGTCTTTTGAAAAGTCATCACCCATGTTCTTGACAGATGGTGGGTTACTTGTGGGACAAGATGCAGTTTCTCCCATGTAATGGCACTGGAAGTGATTCACCAGACCTTCACACTGTTGGCATTATTTACCAATTCACATTCATATACTTCAAAGTTGCCTTTATTAACAGTAGCCACATCTAATCTCTGTATGCTCTCCACCTTCCCCCAGAAGAAAGCCCTACTTGGAAGAATGTTCCCCGTAGGTTTTTATATTTACTATAGAGCTTAGGGTGCCCCAGCCTCCTGGTAGAGCTGGGCCTGTGAGAGTACAAGCTTTCCCAGTCCTGAATCCTTTGTTGCTCACCGGGGCTGCTGGGACCTCCTGCTCTTCTTCCACCCCAGGGCCGTCACTCACCACCACCCTTCTCAGCAGGAGCTCTTCATCCCTGGTGCATCCTCTGTGTCAACCAAGGTCTGCTCCTCACCTGAGGGTACCTTGTGATCAGAGGGTAAAGATAACATGATTTCCTGGTTCCCCTTAAATCCCAAGGACTCAGCTTAATAGCCAAGGAATCATTAGTACAACTTTGGAACTCTTGGTTTTCCCTAGGGGATCTAACTGAAAGAGGGAAGGATGTAGAATAAACTTTACCTATTTTCTTTGCTGTAGGTGCTAACAATAAAAACCCTTTCCTTGGGAATGAGGAAGGGAAGATAGTTGAGGATAAACTAGCGGTCTGAATAGTAATCCAGAGAAGAATAAAAGGAAATCATAGTCTGAAACAACTGAAGATAGTTGATGGTTATGGAAAAGAAAGAGCTACTCCCTAGCATCTTCCAAAAAATGGGGGCAGGGAACAGTGGGTGCATGGTAGACATAATCATGGCATGCTGTTAACTGGAACTGTATGCAGGTGGGATCCCCAGGCTACAGTTCCTTAAGGAAATGCCTGGTGTCTTTTTCTGTAGATTCCTTAACATTTCCTGCATAGACAATCCCATTACCTGTGAATAGAGAGAATTGGTATTTCTTTTTGTAGGCATTTTTTGTTCTTGCTTTATTGTATTGTATCCTTACTGTAGGCTTTCAACTATGTTTGCTTAGCTTTGTTCTCAGTCTTAGGGAGAAAGTATTCAGTCTTGCACCATGAGGTACAGTATTAACTATAGGTTTTTTAATAGACGCCATTTCCCAGGTAGGAAATGGGCCTCTGGGCAAAACAAGCTTTGTTCCAATCTCGTTTTGCTCTTCTGCAGCCATGTGACAGATACACATTTCAGATTTCTCAGGGCTTCAGTTTCCTTATCTGAAAAATGAGGATAATTGAACATCTGCTTTCTGAGTTTGTTTGAGGGTTAAATGAAATTATATATGAAAAGACTTAGACCAATTCCTGGCACCTAGTAAGGTTTAATAAAAAGTAGGTTTGTATATTGTAAACAACAGTATTCAACTGAGTAAATTATGAAGATGGTACTGGCTTTATTCAGTGATTCATGAGTCATCGAGCAGCATCCCTTCTACCAGAAAGTAGCTCTAGGGAGCTGTACAAAATGAAAGCTTTTATAGGCAGAAGGAATCAGAACAAGGAGATTATACCAGTAAAAAGTAGATTGTTTGTGGCAAGGTCACCTTCCTTTGGGGTACAACCAGGGGTCCATCAGGCAGGTCACCTCACTAGTGCTGACCAGGTAATTCCAGAGTGACTGGTTTAGGATTCTGCTTCTGGGAAAGGTCAAAACTATAAGTTAGGTATCAATTCTTGGTTCTATGACATGGGCTTACTCCAGGTGACTCCATTTTGGGCCTGTTTTCTCTTTTTAACAATATTAACTGAAATACTAACAAGGTAAACACAAAATGTTCAAAAATGAGTAAGCTTCTGCTGATTTTGAATCTCAGCATTCAAAATACTTATAAGTTAAATTAGTTTACTTAGCACTTCATCATCTAAAAGTGGTAATAAAGCAGTGGACTCAAATTTTGGGAATTCCAGAATGTTCCTGAATTAACTGTTTACTTTTTTTGATTGTAAAATTCTTATGCTTGCGGAAAAAGATGGCGGTGTGAGAGGTGAGACAGAGGTTTCCTCCTAAATCCGCATATAATACGAAAATATAATTAATACAACTAATCCTGAAAGAGCAACAGGAAAGAGGACTACACCAGACTGCATACACCTGGAGAAAAGAACAAACCTCACAGAACATGGTAATGTAGCAAAGCTGTGGCCCGGCGGAACTGAAGCCCTTCCTCCACCCCAGCTCACAGGTGGGAGGAAGAGAAACTGAGCGGGGAGGGAGTGGAGGCCTGAGACTGCTGAATACCTAACTCTGGAGATCTGCTCTGGGAGCACAAACCTACATTTCATGCTGCTTTTATGATACTCTCAGGATTATGGGGTTGGAATGCTAAGATGGGCAGAATTCCTGGAGAGACGGAGATTCCAGCTGCTTGTGGAAAGCAGGGATCCATATCCAGCTGCTCTGGGACAAAAGCTTATACCTGTGTGCTCGGCCCACTGGTTCAGGCCGTGGAGACAGGCACAGCAGCCGGGAAGCAGGAAACAGCTCTTTCCTCACTCCAGGCACCAACACTGCTCACCTGCGACCCCTAACATTGCTCCAGGGGCTGAGGAGTTCCAAATTACAGCTTCTTGGCACTAGAGGGCACCATATACAAAACAAAAAGCCAAAGAAACCTGGTTCAGAGTAAAATTAATATAACTCCTGAAAAAGATGACATGGACTGCATGACTCTTCCTGAAAGGGAGTTCAAAATAAAAATCATTAACATGCTCATGGAGGTACGGAAAGATATTCAAGAACTCAGGAATGAATTCCGGTCGGAGATCCAATCATCGAAGAGCACAATGGAGGGTATTAAAAGCAGATTAGATACAGTGGAGGAGACGATAAATGAAATAGAAACTAGAGAAGAGGAATACAAAGAGGCTGAGGCACAGAGAGAAAAAAGGATCTCTAAGAATGAAAGAATATTGAGAAAACTGTGTGACCAATCCAAACGGAACAATATTTGCATTATAGGGGTACCAGAAGAAGAAGAGAGAGAAAAAGGGATAGAAAGTGTCTTTGAGGAGCTAATTGCTGAAAACTTCCCCAAACTGTGGGAGGAGATAGTCTGTCAGGCCATAGGGGTACACAGATCTCCCAAAACAAGGGACCCAAAAAAGACAACACCAAGACATGCAGTAATTAAAACGGCAAAGATCAAGGATAAGGACAGACTACTAAAAGCAGCCAGAGAGAGAAATAAGATCACATACAAAGGAAAGCCCATCAGGCTATCATCAGACTTCTCAGCAGAAACCTTACAGGCCAGAAGGGAGTGGCATGATGTATTTAATGCAATGAAGCAGAAGGGCCTGGAAACAAGATTACTTTATCCAGCAAGATTATCATTTACATTTGAAGGAGGGATTAAACAATTTCCAGATAAGCAAAAGCTGAATTTACCTCCCACAAACCATCTCTACAGTGTATTTTGGAGGGACTGCTATAGATGGAAGTGTTCCTAAGGTTTAATAGCTGTCACCAGAGGTAATAAAACCACAGTAAAGAAAGTAGAACAGCTAATTACGAAGCAAATACAAAATTTAATTAACTATCCTCAAAGTCAATCAAGGGATAGACAAAGAGTACAGAGTATGATACCTAATATATAAAGAATGGGAGAGAAAGAAAAAGGAGGAGCCAAAGAAAAGAACCTTTAGATTGTGTTTGTAATAGCATACTAAGTAAGTTAAGTTAGACTCTTAGATAGTAAGGAAGTCAACCTTGAACCTTTGGTAACCACGAATCTCCAGACAGTATATATAAGAGCTCAATAAGCAAGCTAAGTAAGGCAGTAAGATATAAAGAGGCTAACCTTGAACCTTTGGTAACCACGAATCTAAAGTCTGCAATGGCAATAAGTACATACCTGTCGATAATCACCCTAAAAGTAAATGGACTGAATGCACCAATCAAAAGACATAGAGTCACAGAATAACCATTATAAATATCTATGTTCTCAAAACAGGAGCAACTACAAATGTGAAACAAGTACTAACTGAATTAAAAGGGGAAATGGAATGCAGTACATTCATTCTAGGAGACTTCAACACTCCACTCACTCTGAAGAACAGATCAACCAGACAGAAAATAAGTAAGGACACAGAGGCACTGAACAACACAATAGAACAGATGGACCTAACAGACATCTACAGAACTCTACACCCAAAAGCAGCAGGATACACATTCTTCTCAAGTGCA